GACCGATCCAACCGTAGACACTACGACTATTTTGATGGGGAATCTTTGGAAGCTTTCCAGTGCTTCTCCACGATGTAAATGGAACCAAGGCATGGTAACTAGCAGCTGAGGCCAGATTACTACCGTACCTGGTCAAAAAGAGAATCTGCCAAGATCAACCCTGAGTGTCAACGCTTCTTCAGTTCATGGTATCGAGTCCGTCCGAGAAATCTACCAGTCCTGACTTCAACACCAGCCAGTCTCCGCAATTATTGGATTGGAGTCTTCTACTGATTAGAATCAAAAATGTTTCTAGTGTTTCAGTTGCTGTTATTCACAAAAATGAGATATTGCAAAGTGAGCCCAACTCGACCGTAGATGTTCAATTTTATTACGCACGATCAGGGTTAAGATTGGCACGAAGTGATTATAGATCAGTGTTACGATTGCTAATAGTGAATACTATAACAACAAGCGTTAGCTCCAATTTCATGTACTCCATGGTATGAAGTAGTGAGAAGAAATTAATATTAAACTTTGACCTTTTTCGAAGAACGATTCTTAAAGAAACTTGTGCATCGCTCCCCGTATGAAATTCTTTATAAGTTGCACCTGGAGCTTGCATTGAATGAACTCAATCGGAATAAATCCACTGTAATTTTCCGTACCAGCTGGTGGCACTCTTCACTTTTACAGGTTCCTCCGTAATTAGCACAAAAACGAAAAAAAAACTCACTCAATGAAGGACTGGAAATATTTGGTGTTTTGGTGGAGTTGTAGCCAACCTTCCGTCCTCTTCTTGCTCCCTAGATGAGGAATGTTTCAGATGTGACATGAAAACGAGATGAGAAAGAACATTTGGATAATTCATATCACAAAAGTATGGGAACGCAGCCTGGAGGTTACTGTAAAACCATAGGGCCACCTAGAAGCTCAACAATTGCACTCGGAAGTAGCATATCATTTTGCACTAGATTACTGAAACGAGGTGATCAGGATTGACTGCATAGATACAGTAGTGGCCAGAAATTTATGAACAAACGGTTTTTTCATGATTTCTCTTTTGAAAGTCACTGGAACGTCTCCAAATTTGCAACAATTATTAACTACGTGTTTTATGATCCACACAGAAAATTTCAACCTTCAGCTCAAATTTGGGTTTAGAAAATTTTAGATTTTTCGAAATTAATGAAGGCAGGTGAAAGATCACTTGATCCGTTTATTTGATTTAAATAATGTATAACCCAACAGAACAGTCAAGTAAACAGTCACTAACATTAAGCAAGTCTAGCACATTGCCCAGAACTCTCTAAAGTATTGGATACATAAACTGGATTTGAATGCGGGGTCAACTAATGAACTCACTCTCTAGTGGGGTCTCTCTCTGTAGTCCCGTATTTTCGTGGCTCTTTCATTGACATACGAATTTGTAGGTCCTCCCCTAGTGGTTCTGTAATGTTTGGCTCAAGAGTCTGGCCTGGCTGGTCTTTTAAAAGCACCCCATGCTGTCGAAACCACTCCTGCATGTGAGAGGCCCGATGCTTTGAGTCGCTGCTCTGCTGACAGACAAAGCCAGGTCGTGTGGCAGCCATGTCTACGGATACATAACATCTTCTAGAATCTAAGTCTATACTACGTATTCCTTAGTTCTCAAAGTCTAAGAAGAGCGCTCGCTGTGAAGTGGGTGGGAGTAGAATGTGATTGACTAAGCCTGAAACGAAGGTTGATACAGGTTTCTAAGGTCATCTGGAATGACAAAAACATATTACTGATGCATGACAGCAAGGATACTAGTAATGTACGGCACCACGAGAGGGAACGTTTTGATCCAAAGAATCAGCTGCCAATTGTGAAACTTGGCGGAGGCTTGATAAGGTTGCCTTGGAAAAAAGTGGGACCACGCTACACGACTGAGGTAGCGATGAAGGCAGACGTTTGCTGTCATGTTTTGGAAGGTGTCATGTATCCGTAGGCGTGGCTGCCGCCCGACCTGACTTTGTCTGTCGGCAGAGCAGCGACTCAAAGCATCGGGCCTCTCACATGCAGGAGTGGTTTCGACAGCATGGGGTGCTTTTAAAAGACCAGCCAGGCCAGACTCTTGAGCAAACATTACAGAACCACTAGGGGAGGACCTACAAATTCGTATGTCAATGAAAGAGCCACGAAAAGACGGGACTACAGAGAGAGACCCCACTAGAGAGTGAGTTCATTAGTTGACCCCGCATTCAAATCCAGTTTATGTATCCAATACTTTAGAGAGTTCTGGGCAATGTGCTAGACTTGCTTAATGTTAGTGACTGTTTACTTGACTGTTCTGTTGGGTTATACATTATTTAAATCAAATAAACGGATCAAGTGATCTTTCACCTGCCTTCATTAATTTCGAAAAATCTAAAATTTTCTAAACCCAAATTTGAGCTGAAGGTTGAAATTTTCTGTGTGGATCATAAGGGAATTGTTCATTTCATTTTCAGATTCATAAGTGAATTGTATAATAATTGTTGCAAATTTGGAGACGTTCCAGTGACTTTCAAAAGAGAAATCATGAAAAAACCGTTTGTTCATAAATTTCTGGCCACTACTGTATATGAGGTTTCCTTTGACCTTTCACAGTCCAACAACGCAAGCAATTTTTCAGGCAGATTAGTGCGGATTTTGATAGAAGAACTAGGAATTCAAGTCAAGGGTAAGCAGACAGTGGAAGAGTACGTTGCCCGCAGTACATGAAGTCGGTCCGAATTTTTTCCCGGAATGCAAGATTTAGGCCATAAAAACATCCTTGCAATCCCGTTCGCATCGAGAACCAGAGGAATAACTAATTTGATAAGTACAGGGCAATTCAGAGCATTATATATCCTCGAATTTTCGAACCTCTGTGAAAAGAGAAAGATCACAAAATCGCTTTCACCTTTAGAATTCCTCTCTCCTATTAAAACATCAATCCTCAAAAATCATGCTAGTGGCAAAAGTCGTTTCTACAGACCCCAAATCAAAAGGCCCATTTCATCGATAGCAATTTGTTTAAAATCTTTCCCGAAGAGAAACAAACTTACGAAAACAATACAATGAAAAAACCATAAAAACAAACATAAAAAAACAAAAAGTCATAAAAAATAAAATAAAAAAAAACTATACGGACAGCCGAAGGTAAGTCGGCGTCTCTATGGACAATCGAAGGTAAGTCGGCGCGGAGCCAAAGGCGGGGCATGGAAGAAGTCGCCTTGGGCGGCTACGTATCAGGCGACGCAATGAAAGAATCGGGTTAAGCGTGCGATTTTGGAGAGAGAAATCAATCGATAGAATAGGATGCAGTAGAAGTGTGAGATGTTAATGCAATAAGTCAAAAGGTCAAAAAGTTTCTAGTGACGGCACTCCGAGAACCAAGTGGAAGCGTTCCCGTCGCCAGCATTTGTGACAGATGTCCGGCGGGAATTTGAACGCGTAGCAGTCCTTCCGTTTTTCGAATTTTTTACCAAAACAAATGCAATTTTTCGTTCGTTTTTATCGTGATATGAGTCTCAAGCCAGTGATTTATGGTGAAATAGAATCATGTTTTTTTTCTGCGGAGGATTCCTTTAATCATTACACCACTTTTTCAATACCTCTTCCTTGTAGACATGCTTGTAGGGGGAGGGTTCATTGGCGCACTGACAGTATGCCTGCTTCAAAGCATCAGATCTTTGATTCGATCTTGATGACAAGTTGCTGATGAATATACTTGCTTTCAACAAGGTGTATTCTTGATTTCATCGCACTAACGACATTTCACTGTCCTTTGGTAATGGTCCGTGAGATGCACTCATCATGATCTTCAGAAAAGCCTTAACAACAGTACAAACGCGACAATTTACCGATTTTCGTTGGCGCTTTATCGCTCCATCCACTGAATTCGTTCGCTCGCGGTAGTCGCCGAAGTACGACACTGTCTCGGAGCTAGCAGTATCCTAGAAGTTCGAACTGAGCTGAGTAATTGCAGCAATATCAAGAACTACTAATACTGTTAATACAAGTGTACCAAGGTTTCGTATTTAAGAATTCGACTCGCAACTGAAATAAAATGATTTGACCATGTTTCAACAAGATTCATAGTATACAAAGCATTTAACCGCAAACATTCTTTTCATGGCGCTGTCGATTAGAGAGAGTATTCCGATCCGACAGAAGGGCGGACACAAATCCCTGTCATGAGTCCATAATGCCACCGCTAACTCGAAATTTCGTCGCCAAAAGGGCGCGTGCAAAAATCGAGGTTACGGATTTGACCATCTCTACAAGGAGGGAACTGCCTTCTAATCCAGGCGTGGGAAAGGCCCTAGAAAACTTGCTGGCTACTGGCCACCCCTTTAAATCTTTAGAAAAACGTTCACTGCGACCAAGAGACCAACTTTAACTTTTAGGACTAACTTTTGAGTCAAAAACAATTTGTAGTATTCCAGCACCTGTTTTTGCATTTCAAAAGCAGCAACCCGAGATTGGTCGGCACAGTTTCTGCGGATCTATAGAGAAGGTGCATGGGCTCACTAGTGCAAGACATGAAGATCTAAATGTAAAGGCAGAGCTTCTCAGACTAGGGTTCAGTGAAAGAGTGAAATGCCCTACCTCACGGGAAAAGCCAAAAAATTCCCTTGGTAACGCACTTCAAGAGTCTTAAAAATATCTTAAATATAAAATATCTTAGTCTTATTCATCTTAAAAAAATATAATAGGAATGTAGAAAAAAGGATACTAAGAATCGGTAACAAAAAGGAGTTTTTCAAATTGTTGAATAAGAAGCTTGGTACACGTCACAAAATTTCCTGCCTGAAGAAGGATGGGATTGTGGTGGTGCTAGATAAGGATAAAGCTAATCTATTAGCAAATAAGTTCACCGAAGTGTTTTCTGAGAAAGACGATACATTTCCTAGCTTTTCTCCTATCATTGAGAAACCGATGAAAGATTTTCCTTGGTTTGATGGTAGCTCTATGTATGCTCTCTTGAAAGAACTGCCCTGTTCGCATTCGCTAACGCCTGATTTTATTCCAGCCTTGTTTGTAAAAAATATTGCTCATATAATAGCGGATCCGTTGGCCTACATTTTTAATCAGTCACTTTGCTTTTCGGAGGTCCCTTCTAGGTGGAAACATTCATTTGTCACTCCATTACTTAAGAAAGAGCCCTCCCATTCTGTAGATAATTACAGGCCTGTTAGCATTACTTCTTACTTTTGCCGTATTTTTGAGAAAGTCTTGAAAAAACACATTATGTCACACTTGGATGATAATGGAATCATTCCAGTCAATCAGCATGGATTTGTTCCAGGACGGTCTGTGGAAACCAACCTCCTAGAATGTATAAATGTGTGACATAATTTACTTTGATTTTTCCAAGGCATTTGATAAGGTCGATCATTTTAAAGGCACAACCCAGGCAGAGGTCGTGTGAACGCTTCTCTTCGGTCAGAAGTATAGAACCCTAGGGGACAATCACAAATGTGGCGTTCACGTGCACGGAATTCGACCGACAAGAACGCTTGGGGCTTGCAAAGTAAGCTGCTCGAGCTGCAGCGAACGAGCTCTCTTATCAGGCCGTTGTCTGGTGCTCTCTCATCTGATGCGCTCTCTCGCCCCATACTCTCCTCTTCGCGCTTAGTCTCTCGTTCCTTTAGCACAGCCAATTAGGAAGGTGAGTGAGCCCTCAACCTGAGCGTTTTCGACGGATTCTTTTCCTTTTTTCTTCACTGCCGGCCCACTTGGCACCGATACATTCACATTCGTGTGCAAGAGCCACACCAGTGCGATCCTGGGGCATGCCTTTAAGTTGTGAACGTTGAATCAACTCAGATCACCCTATGATATGTCGTTGGATCGAGCAATACCTTTCTGGGAGAACATTTTCAAGTTCGTATTGGGTCTGTTTTTTTTCGGATTTGAGAGATGTTACAAGTGGAGTTCCTCAAGGTGGGGTTCTTTCCCCGATTCTCTTTACAATATACACGGCCGAGCTTCCTAAGAAGCTTGAAGATTGTGGAGTTGTGTGTAAACAGTTCGCAGATGATATCAAAATTTATAGGATGATAGAAAGTGAGGATGATGTAAGAATGATCCAAAATGCTTTAAGTGTTATTTCTGAATGGTCTAAACAATGGAATTTGTTATTAGCACCCGAAAAAACTGTGTACATGAGGTTGGGATCTTCGAATCTGATAGGGTCCTATAGACTTGGCAATCATGTTCTCGAGAGTGTCCCGTCTGTTAAGGACCTTGGTTTTCACTACGACAATAAGCTGTCCTTTTCCCAACATTTGGATATGCTCTATAAGAAAGCTACTTATAGAACATACCAGATTTTCAAAGGGCTTTCGACTAATGATAAAGATCTCCTTGTTCAAGCTATAAAACTTACATTAGGCCCATTGCGGAGTGTGGGACATCGGTCTTTTGTCCTTATAAGAAGAAGGATATAATTAGTTGAAGAAATCCAAAATAATTTCACCCGGAAAATGTTTATCAGATCAGGGGAATTCGATTATTCTAGACTACTTCATGTGTCTCGCAGGAATCGAGATTACCATTTACATTCGCTTTGCTCTCGTAGGAAATATTTTGATGTCTGCATGGTCTTTAAATTGTTGTCGGGTATTGCCAAAAATTGATGCTTCCAAATTCTTTGGTCTGGTCAACTCTAGAACTAGAGGGTGGTCAGTAAAAATATCCTATGCCACTCCTAAAACGAATCTAAAACGTTATAGCTTTGCTTGTCGTGCAGGATCTGAATTCACTTCTCTTAAAACTACAGTAGTGATATCGCCTCTAACCTTCCGACTTTTCAAGCGTATAAGTAAGAAGCAATTGTTGAGCTTTAGTGAGCTTTAACATTTACTATCGTTAACTACGGTCGTGAGTTGTATGATTTCATATATCTTGCGTTTGCCTTATGCACAACGTTATAAATAAATAAATAAATAAATAAATAAATAAATAAATAGCAAAAACATATCTACTAAATCTATACTCCAGGCCTTTTAACTAACTTTTTTTTAAATTTTTTCTTTCGCGAGAAGTTTGTAATTTGATAGTGGTTGGGGGAAGCCTCCGCCGCTAACTTGTTCTCGTTCTTATCTATGAGTCTCAAACTGCCGAGTTAAGAGGGAAAAGCGTCGTGCTGTTTACCTGTGTGCAATTCCTTCAAATTTTCTGCAAAGACCCTCCACTTGACATATGACTGAATTGGAGTTCTGTTCAAATCAAGAAAGAAGGTGAACAGACCTTGACCTCTTTGGATAGAGCTGCGAGTTCTTTGAGCGCTTCTTCAAGTTCGCTAATGTCCGGGTTGATGTATGGTGCTTGAGCAGGTAGCTCTTTTAGGGCTGAAACGAGAATGCTCGTCTATTTGCAGGGAAATCTAAAAGGGCTCACCTTCAACTGAGCTCGGTATTACTTTTCGTGTGAGCACCAAGTTCATGGACTCATTTAACGGTGGCAACGCCAATGATGCTTCCGGTTGAAAAGCTACAAAAGCTGGATTTATATGAATTTTGACTTGTTTTTGATATTTAAAAATTGTATCTGCTATAAAACCCAGCCTCGCAGTTCATTACCGATCCTGGCTGACCGGCTTGTCGCGGGAAAGCAAATAAGCTACAATAGCTAGGCCAAGGTGAGGGTGTAATTGCTAGCACAGCTGCTCGGAAGACAGGAGTACGGGTTCGATCCCAGCCCGTGACGAGTTTTATATATAACCCAGCATTTTCATGATGAACTTATATCATTGGAGCTCTGCACCCGAGTCTTTGGTCTTAAGCTTGAGGGCACATCAGCGAGTTCATTAGATGTTTAGATGTTCCTGTAGATGAAGGAGGTTGCTTAGCTGTAGCCGCTGAGGTATGTGGTTTCAAAACGCGTGGGTAAGGCGGTAGGGGCAGAGGTTATGCACACGCTCACCGCGGCAGTGTCTGCCTTAGATAACCAGTCTTCTTAGTTTCATTGTAACAATTATCTATTACCTGCTATTAACAACTAAACATTGCCACAGCTCAGGGAAATATACTGCTACTTCAAGGTTTCACTTGTACTTTTTCTATTCGAGTTCTACCACTTACTGGTTCATATTTGACCCCATTACCCGCTCTTGCTAACGCTGTGTGCCTGTGCACACACCAAAGACCTGTTGGGAGAAGGAATGTATCATTTGATTGTTTCCGGATCACATATTTAAACTGATCAACAAGCTTCAGGCACCTTCCGCTGTGGTATCCTCCCGCGGCCTTTCTGGGAGACTTTGAAGACGATCGACTTCACGCAGGTCCATCTCACTGGGTTCCCCTACATCTCCAAATATCTGCAAACATTACTTTTAGTGATAAAAACCCCTGATAATTCGGTATACCAACCTTCGTTACATGTCCTCCTCCCATTGGAACAGATGTTTCCTGCAGGTGCAACTGTTGAGATACCGTCTCGGGCTCATGAATCTACAATAAACGTACCAGCGCGGCATATCGAAAAAGAAAAATTGAAAATATCAGCAAAAGCGTTGGCAGAATCGCTTTTCGTAGCCAAGAGCACGTTGTTGCTTTCCAAATGGTAAAATTTGCAGGCCGCCATAACCGAAACAGCTTCTGAAGTGCTGCCTGATAACGCGAAATTGAAAACGAAGCCGAGTTTGAGAATGATTCTCATTCTTTCAGTTTACTAGCGATCTTCTCGCTCGGAGCCGTCACAAAAGATCAGCACAGCGCTTTCACGGGGCCAAGTACTCTGTGGGAACGCAACAAGCCAACAACGCAAACAGCCACAATTGTGACGTAGTCTGCCAGTAGATGCGTTCAGCAGATGAACGTAATATTCTGCATAATCTTCCTTGTCATTCTCTCTCAATGTCCTCAATGTAGAATGTCGGGCAGGAAAGAGAAAAACTCTGAGAATGGCACCAAATATTATTCTCAAGAACTCGTGATATGAAATTTCGTCTACTGAGTTTAGCCAAATTTTTGGACTTTTGAGCGCGGCAGCAAACCTCACTGTGTAATCGTGACAGTCATTTGAGGTGGCTAAAATTCTAAGAGTCGAAATGAGCGATTGACGGTGTAGCTGTTGTAGCATGATTGCTCATTGCTTGTAAAATTCACTTTACCTTCGTGTCCGCCATTATGTGTGGTCCTGTCGCCTCAATTGGGTAGCCTCTAGTGATAGGACGAACTGAAATAGGAACTTGATTGATAAATGGGATGCCGGCTCTGTTGTTTCGTCA